GGGATTGGAGGCTGGCCAGGCTGGTCTAAGCTGTAGCTTGCAGTGGCGTGAGCTGGAACTGGAGTGGACCGGGCCCGGCCAGGCTATAGCACCCACTGACAAATGCTATGGTGAGGCGGCCCATGCCAGACTGGGCCACAGCACCCAACCAGCATATGTGAGATCCAGAGAGAGAGACGACAAACCCAAAAGGGAGGCTGCATGGGGGCTCTCCTGCTGGACTACCACTCACACTGGTAAGCATGAGAGTTGGGATGGGATGGGATGAGGGCAGACCAGGCTGAGTATGGCTACAATATCTGTTGGCCTCATGTGAGCTGGATCAGGGGTGATAGGCTGGGCTGACTGTTCCTACTGGTGCATGCATAAGCCAGAGTGGGTATGGGTTGGCTGGGCTTTGCTGCAGCATCAGCTGGCAGATGCTCGCCTGAGGGGTAAAATCTTTCAAGACAAACTGCAGAATCACTTGGAGAGTACAAGATCAGGGAGTGAGAGTGGGCCCAGTAGGGAAGCAGTAGGCACCTCCCTCTTGGGTTGCCACTCTAACCAGTGTTCATGAGAAGCAGGACTGGGGCAGGCATGACTTGACCGAGTGGTACCCACTGGTATGTGTTTGGATTGAATAGTGGGGCTGGTTGGGTTGAACTAGGCTTCAATGTCTATTGACATGTATGAGAACTGAATGGGGTGTGGGACAGAGTGGACAATCTACTATACATACTAGCAAGCATGGGAACCAGGGCAGGGGCATGCCTGGTGGGGGTTATTGGGAGTCACTCCAACTATGCTGCAGCTCCCACTGTGGGGCTCGAGTGTATGGTGGGCAGGATCAGGCTGGGCTGCAACACCTATTGGTTTGTATAGAAGACAGGGATGGAGCCAGAACTGACCCAGCAATTGCAACCACCAGCATGTGAGTCAGGCTGATTTGGGCAATGGACTGTGCTGGACCCTGTACTGGCATGCACACATACAGAACCAGGTCTTGGATCACCTTAGATGAGGTTTCTATGGGGATCTCCCCAATTGAACCGTTGGATAAGAACTCCAACCATGAGGAGAAGTACAGGTTCCATGGTCTGACCGTGCAGTGCATGTGTCAGAGCTGGGCCTCCACAGTGGCTTAGACAGAACAGTGGACAGCATATTCAGGTGCACATGGAGGATATGGCAATACACTGGAGCCTGCAAAGAACACCTAGTATCATAAAAGAGGACAAAACCAATCGATCAACTACCCCCACCAAGTGTTGGCAATGAATATCTGGGCAAATGGAAACGCCAAGGTGGACTATGCCAGCCAGTGGATTCTGGAGAGATTTTGTCGTGCTTGGCATGGTGAAATTGACAGCAATTCAGAACTGTTGAACTATCAAAGCCTCATGAGAGAAACCTTCGCGGATCATGCCCCACATCGGGATGGAATCGGGTGGCTCTCCCCAATCCCAGGGTATGGAGGTGGTTGGGATGCAAGGTGGGGCTGCTCCCCTTATCTCTCCCTCCTTTCCGCACATACAGGAAGGAAAAAAGAGAATGTGGAAACAATGTTCTCACCCACTTTCCTCTAGCCTTGACTCTTTACACCCTAATCAAATACGTAAAAATCATCAAAAATAAAATTTAAAAAATACCAACGAATTAGAAGAAGGCATGAAGAGTTTGGGAGCATTGATTTGTCAGTAATCAATCAAAATGACAGTAAAGGAAACCCCACAATCAAAACAGACAGTGAGTAGGCTCAGAGTCCCACACTCCCAGTCTCACCCGTTATGAACTGAGCCCTAGACTATTTGGGAAATAGTGTTTAAATGGCAGCACTATTGGACCACTGAATCAATTTCAATATGAAACATTCAACAAGTTCTTTCTTCCTAAACTCTGACAAACTGTGGGCACTTTTGAAATGAGGATAAATAAATGGATCACAGAAAGAAGGAAAATATGACATGGGTACTACGTGAACTAAAACGCTGCATTCTTTTTTAAGAAGAGGCTGGCATTGTTGGCATTGTAGTGTAGCAGATTAAGCCTCATTCTGAGTATGCCTTATGGGTACCAGTTTGAATCCTGGTCACGCCACTTCTGATCCAGCTCCTTGCTAATTTACCTGGGAAATCAGCAGCAGATGGCCAAGTACTTGGGCTCCCGCCACATGTGGGAGACCAGTTGGAGTTTCAGGTTCCTGGCTTATGCTTGGCCCAGTCAAAGAGTGAACAAGTGGTTGGAAGAGGATCTCTCTCTCTCTCTTTCTCTCTCTGTCTCTTTCCCTTCCTCACCTGCACTTTCAGTCATCCTTTCAGATAAAGAAAAGCAAATCTTTAAAGAAAAAGGAGAGAGAGATACAAGCGCTACCCAAATCACTTGAGACTGTCCACTAAAACGACACTGAATCATCCAGCGGTTGGTGGACAGTGCAGTTTCCCATAGTGCAGACTGAGACTAACAGCAGGCCTGGCTGGCTTTGGACTCACTCAGCAAGAACTGGGTGCAGTCCAGGTAAACTGACACTCCATCCATGTGGAGCTGGCAAGTTATCCTCCCCAGTAAAACAAGGCTAGTAATTATGTCTTCTTTACAGAGTTGCTGGGAGGATGAAAGGAAACGACATAAGCAGAAGTCCTAACGCAGTGCCAGCACATGGTGGGCTCTCAACACATGTCAAACACTGTCTCCGAAAGTGACTAGATAGGAAAACCCAAGTCCACCCTTGATTTCTGCCATTCCACTGAATCTCCCAACATGGTTGCCAACCCTAGATTACATTCTAAAGCCACCTTGTATAGCACAAGTCAGAGCTTTGAACAGACCTGGGCGACCTTGGCTGTTCTTTGCCTTTCGGTCCAGTGTTGGTGCGATATCCCAGGGGACTTTAGGCTCTCTTTGAAGGAGATGGCCTAATATTGAGGTTGGTGGCGCCTTGGAATCCAACAGAGAGCATGGAATAGTGTAGGTGCTCAACATAGGTTTGCCGAAGGCATCATCTATTGCTGCTGAAGTTTTGCTAACTTACTAACTTGAGAATGGTCAGAATCTTATATAAGCTAAAATTAAGAAATAACACCTTCCACCCTAAAAAAAATGTTTGGAAATACAGTACAATACTTGGGGAGAGATTTGATGAAAAGAGCTAAGCGTTTATGGGAGAGCGAGGGAGAAGGGTAAGGGTGTCTGTGATTTGACGCTGTTGAGGTGAGACAGTTGGCTATGAATAAGATTGAATATTCTTGGCTATGAATAAGATTGCCTTGTGTTGTGCGGCGGTGGGCTTGGGAGAGAGACTTCTTGCTACCACAGGTGTTCTCCGCTTTCTAGATGAGGACTCAGGAGTCTTTCCAGGCAGAGCTGCTGGCCTCCCAGACCGTGGGCCAAGGGGCACTCCTTCCTTTCAAAATAACCACTGCTGCCTTCATCCCAGCACCTGTTGTTTCCGCTTCCGCCAGAGAGGAGCTATTCATTTCTCCTTCATCCAGGCCGGATTCCTGGTCTGTCTAGGCTTGTTTCCTGACTGCAGCTGTCTAAATCACTAAGGCCAAGTGTGGGACGCGGGCATCTCTCCCCTGGAGTCTCGCGCATCGCCACCCCCGAACACAGAAAAAGAGGGACAGCCACAAGTCACCGGCCGGATCCTGGCCAAATCGGTGAGGTCCCCACAGAACCCCCTTCACGCCACCTCGCCGCGGGAGCCTGGGACGCACCCAGGCACTGGAACAGGGTCACAAACACCTGACTCCCCATCCCTCCACCGGAGTCTGGCAACAACTTTGACCAGGACATCCACTGCTGGACCCGGGAGAGAGCGTGCACCTCTTGGCCACATCATTCTCGGTAACATATTGAGAAGTTTTGGCAATCAGACCGAAAGCAAGTTTAGTTGGCATTTGTTACTGTTGCTGTTCTCGTGTGAGCAAGGTTTGAATGGCCAGAGTCAAGTGTTTTCCCGCGCCCGCTGCAGCGGGCAGCATCCTGCCCAGGGCCACACCTCTCTCCTGGGTCTGGGTCGGGCAAGCTGTAGGCTCCTGGGCACCTTGGCGAGTCCAGGGGCGGAGGGAAGCCCGCGCAGCACGCATGCGCGCCGGGGAGCCGCCGGCCCCTCTTAAGAGCGCAGCGCGGCGCCACTACGAGCGCAGTCGGAGCTGGCCTGGCGCCGGGTGAGGACGCGCGGTGCAGGCGGCTGCCGCGTCGGCTTCTCCCGTAGCCCCAAGGACTGAAACTTCCGTGGGAGGCTCCCCTGAGCGCATACCTCCTGAGGGCGCAGCAACGAGGGCCGAAGGGGAAGCCTCCACACAGGCTGCCCGGCGCCCTAGAGACCACCCTGCAGCCGGGGAACGCAGCCCTCCTGGACCGGCGCCCAGCAGCAGTAGCCGCGACCCACCGTCGCCAGCCGGGCAGCTCCCGGGACTGCGGAGGGACGCTCTCCGGACAGCCCCGGCCGGCGTGCGCTGGGAGGATTGACCGTCGGCCCCGCCGAGCCGAGTATCGGGGCTTGCAGCCGCCAGGGCTGCGCGGGTTTCGCGGCCCGAGCCATGCGGACCAAGCTCGGAGCCGGGGAGGCTGAGCGCTGCTGGCCGCTGCACTTGCTGCCCGCAGCCCTGCGCGCGCTGCCTGCCGCCTTCGCCGCTGCTCACCGTCCGAGAGTGGAATAAAGGAGAGGAGACGCGTCCGGACTCGCGCGCGAGACCCAGGGGCTCAAACCCGCAGCAGCGACCCGAGTCCAGTTCCTCAGCTGCTGTCGTCGTCTCGGTCCTGTCGCGTGTGGAGCCTTCAGGGGCTGTGGGATGGCAGCCCCCGCCATCCTCTTCTGACTGCAGCCCAACAGTTCCATCAGCGAGTGCCACTCAGAAAAGGCAGCCCGAAACAAGGGTACGCGGCCATCCGGCTGGAGAAGGGGATGGCTTAGGACTCCTCCTGGCCCTGCACCCTGACGTCGAGGCAGAGGAGGGTAGCTGGTGCAGAAAGCGGCGCGGAAGGCACCCGCAGCCGAGGTGCGGAGACTTGGAGAGCACCCCGCGCCCTCTGGAGACGCGCCGCCCGCGCCCGGAGTGGGGCCATGTGGGGCGGACGCCGCTCGTCCGCCGCCTCCTCTCGGAACGCCGCTTCGCTGCTGCAGCTGCTGCTGGCTGCGCTGCTGGCGGCGGGGGCGCAGGCCAGCGGCGAGTACTGCCACGGCTGGCTGGACGCGCAGGGCGTCTGGCGCATCGGCTTCCAGTGCCCCGAGCGCTTCGACGGCGGCGACGCCACCATCTGCTGCGGCAGCTGTGCGCTGCGCTACTGCTGCTCCAGCGCCGAGGCGCGCCTGGACCAGGGCGGCTGCGACAACGACCGCCAGCAGGGCGCTGGCGAGCCTGGCCGTGCGGACAAAGACGGCCCCGACGGCTCTGCAGGTAAGGCGGCTGGTGCGAACCAGCAAGGCGAGAGACAGGGGGGAAAGGAATGGGGGCCGTTGGAGAGTTTACCAAGTGGGGCACCCGTGGACCGCGCTGGGGCTCAGCGTCCCCGGCTGTCACCTAGAGATGGGCAGGTGTGAATTCTTCCCTAAGGAAATCACACGCTGGGGCGGTGTGGGCCACTTTCCCGCTGTCTGTGCCCCTCTGATTCACCTTTCCCTATAGGAAGTATGCGAGTATGGTAGAAGACGGCTCCTTGGGGCTTGCCTGTGGGTGGTATACTCCCCAAAGCCAGCTAACACCCATCCTCCCAGTGGGGGGAATTGGGACTCCTTGGAGGCCCCCAGCAGCACCTTTCTGCTCCCGTGTGGCTCTATCTACACGCCAGACTTAGGTGTGACATGGACAACGCTGTGCTCAGCCTTGCTCTTTGTGACTCGGACAGCTCCCCTCCTCCCCACGCCCTTAAAATTGTGTGCTTTTCCAAACGGCCAAAGTCAGAGTTGGAAAATAAACAAAGGCGGGAAGAAGTTGGAACTGAGAGAGCCCGACAGGGCGCCTCCCCAGGACACTGCACCAGTGATTCCGTGTGCGAGTCCAGGGCAGTGGCCGGGAGAAGTGCAGGTAATATGGCAAGTATGTCCACGAGCGCGGGGGGCGGCTGCTCCTTTTTATGCAGTCTGGGGAGACTGGAGGACTGGAGAACTCAGATCCAGGGGCCCGAGCGCAGGGGCCTGAGCACTGGCCTGAAGTGGGTTCTTGTTGCCAGCGCTGTGTCCTGGGGGTGGGGGGCTGCTCGGAGGCGCTGTCCTCACAGCCCTCTGTGCGGTCAAACCTTTTCGCATCAGGCAGCTCTTATTGTTGGACTGCCTTGGATCGAAAGAGTTGGAGAACTGAGGGCAGTTCCAGCAAAGATGCCATCTTAAACCGCAAGCTCAGCCTTGCAGGGTGTGTGGCCCAGGAAGAAAACCTGGGGAAGGGAGCCAGTGCCTGAACTGCTACAATGAGATGTTTGTGAAGTAAGACTAGTTAATGATCTCTTTAAAAAGTTGGGATGGCTTTGGACGCCTCGGCGGGCGGCAGACTTCTGGTGACACTGTGCGCTGGGCGGACACTGTGCGCTGGGCGGGGACGCGACTTCATTCTGCTTTTCAACTTTCCCTAAAATCCCTAAGCCTTTCAGGTCTTCTCTCGAAGGAAGAAGGGCATGCCTAATTAAGGCTGCCCAAGGCGCATGGTAGTGCTGCATTCTTTACCTCTGTGTAGTTATTTACACTTCCAATTAAAAATCCTGGAAAGAGAACAGTTATTTCTCCCCAGAACTCATTATGGGAACTGAGACTGGTTTCAGTGAGGTGGGTTTTTTTTCCCCCTTGTCATGTTTGAAATTTAAAAAAAATTATAGTTTTATGTTTTACTATTTGTTTTTAATTTCCTGATAACATATTTAAGGCTGGTATCTTAATTTTGAGGATAAAATATTTATAGCAAATGTAAAGATAAGCCTCCCCCCTCCCACGCTGCCTCTCCTACTCCTGTTCTGTAGTTAGCCTGCAGTAATGGTATAATTAGGCAGGACCATGGCGGGGACCCAGCTGTGCTGGAGACTGTAGCCGTATTTGCACCTGCTAACGGGCTGCTATATATAGAACTTGCTCTGTTCAGCACTAACACTTAGTCCTCAGTTAAATATCTGTACACGTTTTACTTAAAAGGCATCATTTGTCTGTGATTCCATATAGTAGTATACTGTAAAATCACTAACTTCCAGAATACCGGAACTGTCTAAAGAAGTGTAATTAAAGAGCCCTGCTCCTCTACAAGACAGTCAAAGGGATTTCTGGGGTCTGACCGCAAAGGCGGGCTCCTTCCAGATTTGCTGCCCCTCTGACTGGGTGCTGGCACCATGCTGTGTTAGGACCACTAAGATCCAGGCAGTCCTGGTCCTTCAGGATGTAAGTCAAGTTGTTGGGGAGATGGGACAGGACCACGTCCTGGAGCGGACACATAGAAACTGCCCTTCCAGTCCCGCCTGTCTAATGCTTGCAGTGCCATCCTCTGGCTCTTAAATCTTCTTGTAAAGAAAATAGTTTTAACATAAAGTTTGCTGCTATAAACTTCTTTACAGTTTTTTTTTTTTTTTTTTTTTTTTGGAAGACAGGGTAAGACTGTTCTAACCGCTAGCTCATGCTCCAACTGGCTGCAACAGCTGGGGCCGATCCAGGAGGAAGGCTGATGCCCATATAGCTTTTGCAGATGCTTCAGCAGGAACCTAGATGGGAAGCGGAGCAGCTGGGATTTAAACGGGTGCTTCAGTGTAGCATGCTCGTCTCCTCACCAGGAGTGGATTACGTAGCCACACCACCACACCAGCTCTGCTAGTGAACATTAACTATGACGTTTTCTGCTATACAGACTTTTAGTGAAGTTCTCTGCCCACCACTTGGACTTAAATATGGTATCAGGCACCCTGTTTTTCCCTGGGTACCTCTCCCCAGCTCTCTTGATCCTGGAACAAATATCTTAACGGCTTAAGATGTTTCTTCTTCTTCTCAGAGCATTGTTTCCTTTTCTAAGGATTCTTTTAAGAATTTTGCACTGATCTTATTTACTTGAAAGATAGAGACCCTCCTCCATTGCTTTACTCCATGCACTGCTTTACTCCCCAAATGCCCACAACAGCCAGGGCTGGGTCAGGTGGAACCCAGGAACCGGGAGCTCCATCTGGATCTCCCACATGGGTGACAGGAACCCAAGTCCTTGAGCCAGTATCAACTGCTGCTTCTTCGAGGTGCTTTAATGGGAAACTGGAATGGAGAGTGCAGCGGGGATTTGAATGCAGGCTGTGCACTATAGGATGCAAATATGTCTAGTGGTGTCTTAACAGTGTTGACCAATGCCTGCTCTAGTACATTCTCACTGCTGGCCACCTACCACTCTCTATCATGCAGAGCCTCTTGCCAGGCACGGCTTTCCCTGCACACAGCTGTCAAGGGTGTGTGGAGTTCTTGGTCTCTTCCTGGTCCTCTTGGGCCTCCCACGCCAAGCGGAAGCTCAGAGGCTGACGTTTTATTTTTGATTTCTCTTGCCTATGGAAAAAGAAGTTATTAAAAGAAGTCACGGTTCCTCATTAGTAGGCAGTTCCCACAGCTCTCCATTCAGGGTAGCCTTCCATTTGAGGGGTCTGGTGCTATAGGAATTTTAGAACCATCATGGTGGTTTTTTTGTTTTTTATTACAAAGGCAGTTTTATAAAGAAAAGGAGAGACAGTGAAAGAAAGATCTTCCATCCACTGTTTGACTCTCCAAAAGGCTGCCATGGCCAGCGCTGTGCTGATCCCAAACCAGAAGCTTCCTCTAGACTCCTGAGTGGGTGTGCAGGTCCCAGGGATTTGGGTCATCCTCTGCTGCTTTCCCAGGCCATAAGCCTCTGCTGGGTCAGAAGTGGATTTGAACTGGCACCTGTATGGGATGCTGGCACTTGAAAGTGGGGGATTAACCTGTTGAGCCACAGTGCTGACTCCACCATCATGACCTTATCACCTTAAGCCCTCCTTGTACCAAGTTGGATATCTGTATCCATCAGTATTGAGTCTAACCCAAGATAAAAAGTTTTCTTTCTGGGGTTGTGATAGGGTGTGCCTTTTGAGTCTGGGTCCCTGTCCCTGGCACAGGGTGTGGTGTATCCCATGGCTGCTAACATATATACAAACCAGCCCATCCTTGCTCCCTGTCTGGGGCCACTGCTGGGCACCCATTTTTCCTATACTCCCTGTTATGGATCCCAATGTTATATTTCTGTTCTTTCCTTCAGTGCCCATCTATGTGCCCTTCCTCATCGTTGGCTCCGTGTTTGTGGCCTTCATTATCCTGGGGTCGCTGGTGGCTGCCTGTTGCTGCAGGTGCCTGAGGCCGAAACAGGAGCCCCAACAGAGCCGAGCCCCCAGCGGCAACCGCTTGATGGAGACCATCCCCATGATCCCAAGCGCCAGCACGTCACGGGGGTCTTCTTCCCGCCAGTCCAGCACTGCTGCCAGTTCCAGCTCCAGCGCCAATTCCGGGGCCCGGGCACCCCCGACAAGGTCACAGACCAACTGCTGCTTGCCCGAAGGTGCCATGAACAATGTTTATGTCAACATGCCCACCAATTTCTCCGTGCTGAACTGCCAGCAGGCCACCCAGATCGTGCCACACCAAGGGCAGTACCTGCATCCTCCGTTCGTGGGGTACCCAGTGCAGCATGACTCTGTGCCTGTGACACCTGTGCCCCCTTTCATGGACGGCCTGCAGCCTGGCTACCGGCAGATCCAGCCCTCCTTTCCCCACCCCAACAGCGAACAGAAGATGTACCCAGCGGTGACCGTATAGTTCATGGTGTCCACTGAATGTCTTGGTGAGACTGAGAGCAAACAGCAGTGGAATTTGAGGGGAGGCCCAGGTCTGTCGGTGGCGGCACGTCTCTTTTGGATGGCTTCCTTTGTTCCATATTGTCTGGAAATGACTCTGGGTTAGCCTTTCTGCATGTGGTTTTCTCACACTGGTGCAAGAAGGAAAGATAGCCCCGGCCGGCGCTGCGCTCTCGCGAGGAGTATGTGACAGATGCCTGAGCCCTTAAGTGCCCTCGAAGTGTGGTTTTTCAAACAAAATTTTCTAAACTGTAGGTGAAGACATTTGATGATATCATGAGAATTATTTTTTTGCTTTGTCCTCAACGGTACCAGATTGGGACACCTGTTACCTCCTTTCTTGCCCGGGCCTGTTTGAAGCATCTGAGGTTGAACGCAAGGTGTAGACAACATGATTCTTCTAGAAAGCAGCCAGTTTAGAATCTGTGAGATGTGTTACGGGACTCAGTACTCCACAGGCACACCTTAACTTCATTGTAAAAAGATATATATATTTTGTCTATTTTTGTGCTTTGGGAACTTATTTTGTGCTTTAGGGTTTTTGTTTTTTGGTTTGTTTGTTTTTTGTTTTTTGTTTTTACCTTGGGTAGAGGTCTTATGACAAAGTGATTTTCTACATTAAACAGAGACAGAACTGTAAAGTCACTTCACCAAGGAAGACATTTCAGAACTCTGCGATTATTTTAATCTTGAAGTAGTAGGTGGCATAGTAATATAATCTCCATGCCTTTGTGGATTGTATCTTGCATCTCTGGATTTACAGTGACACCTGAGAAGTAATGAGATTTTTTTTCTATTGAAATCAGAACCTGTCACCCACTACCTCTCTGGATTCCTTCTCCTTTTGCGGTGTGGCAGGATGTGGACTTTGTTCAGGTCCTCGTGTTCGTTTAGTACTGATGGCAGGTCAGTTCCATAGTTTGAATGAAGACCAGCCTGGCTGCTCGGATCTGTTCATTATTTTTCTTGTGTAAGAGCTTCACAGTCAAGGCAATGTTGGGTTACAAAGATCCTCAGTAGAGCTGCCTGGCCACACAAACACCAGACTTGCGCTGAAATGTAGACCACAGATAGGGGTTACTGTGGAAATCATAAGGGTTCTTATATTCTTGTTATCTTGAAGGCTTATTTTTCTGACAAGCAAGGTGATTAAGTCAAGAGGAAGGCTTTGCGAAGGAGATGGCCTTTCTTCCCCCAGGGTTCTTGTTTTTCTTCTCCTCAGGCTCCAACAAGCACTCTCCTTTAGCAGTGTTCCGAGTTACCAGATGAAAGTGAATTTTTATGCGTATCGTTTACATATAAAAAAGATACATTTAACTGCAAGTAAATTTCTAACTGCTGGAAAAACCAAGAGTTGTAATTAAATAATCATTGTAAGGTATGGACTCTGTCATCTCCAGTCTGTCTCTCCTTGTCACCACTGAATAATGTAAAATCGCCAACAATTGATGTCAACACACTTTTTTTTTGATACCAAAGGCAGGGAAAGTCATTTTACCTATTAATAAATATTTTATGGTGTGAATTCCTAAAGGAGTTGGTTTGGGGTTTTTGTTTTCAGTGAAGTACTTGGGAGCTTTTCAAATGCTCTAGCAAATCCATTAAGAGAATAAAATTTCGAAAAAGAACCCTAAATGTTGCTTTCTAGAACAAAGAGCCTCCTTCTAAAATTCATCAGTAGGTAGCTTTCATGCATGCTCTGTGAGTCTGGAGTATTAGTCGACTACTCCGTGGGAAGTTCTGATGACACCTCACGGGAGGCTGTTTGGGGAAGATCACAGCGTTATCAAGCCAACCTGTGCTCCCAACATTGTCTCCAATGGAAATTTCCTGCTGCTGCAAGGAAGTAAAATTCCTGGAACCTTCCAGTTGGAAGAGACGTTAGGACAGCTTCCTGATACCTCTGTCCCCAGGTTACCAAGTACGCCCCTGTGACCTGAGCGCTGTGGGAAAGCTACACTGATCGGGATGGGAGAGAAAGAGGCACTTGGGAAAGTGGAGCATCGTAAGGCAAGCATGCTGGTGGTCACCTGGCAGATCCATCTTAGTACATTCCTGGGAATGTGCAAAGAAGGGGCTGCTCGTGCTACAGGCAGAAGGCTTCAGGTATTTGTAGCAAACAGGAGAAAGTCCGGAGCCCTGAGCCTTGTGTCCTGTGGCCAGTGGGGGCTGCCCTGGGAATGCCTGCATCTCTTCTCAACATTGAGTATTGTGCAGGCTTCCTCAGCCCCACTCAAGTTCATGGGTATACATCTGCCCAACAGCCACCTCCACCTTGGGTTGGGTCCATCTGGTTTGTTCTAGTATGCTTTGGAAGGTTCTCTCTTTCACTCTCTCTACCCAAGAGGTCAACTATCTTCATCCAATCACCCATTTAAAAAATGTGTGCCTTCTCAGATCTTTTTCTCAATTAATTGGCACCATGAACGTTATGATTCATGTGCCTCATAGGGTTAAGTACAAGATGCCAAAGAATTAGGAATTATTGACTCTTTCTCTCCAAGTGATGGGAACTAAACTCTGGAAACGCATTTTGGTGCATTGATTCGCATCTGCTGTGCTTTGTTTTGTATTCTTCTGAATCGAATCAATCGAAACCTAGAAGAGCACAATGCTCAGCTACCCCCGTCAGAGATGTGAGGTTTCTGTTTTTGCGATTACTTGGCTGTGTTACACTCGGTGGGCACAAAGAAATCCTTAGTGAAGGTGACAATTCACTTTACTTGGAATATCCTTCATCATGCGCTTTAAGAAGTTCATGCTACAAATTGTTCTGCACTCCAACGATGCAATCTATGCAATTTAGAATTTTAGAAAACATAAGCCAAGGTAAAAAGATTCAAATAACTAGGACACTTTGGGCATCATCTGGTTCAGATTTTACATTTTTCTTGCTGCATCACCAGTGGAAGAAATTGGCTTTTTCAGCCAGCTCTACTGCTCTGGGGTAAAGAAATGCCTTTTCTGCCCGGCTTCATTCCACCTTCTGGATCCACCTAGTGTTCTTGCCTCTCAGTGCAAACTCTCCCTCTTGGGTCCCCAACACGGACACACCTCCTTTTCCCAACCTGTCAGGCTGCTGCAGCTGTCGCTCTGCTTGGAGTTCTGAAGGGCGTGGGACTCTGTTCCTTCACAGGATTTTCTGGAGCAACTTGCTTTCTCCTCCTCAGCTTACTATCAACTTCCCTCTGACTTCACACCGTTCCCACAGCCCAACAGTCTCCTGCTGGCTTCCTTGTGACTTGCTGGGAGATAAGAACCTTGCCCTGCCATGGGCGAATCACTTCCAGAGACAAGGCTGGAAGGGAGGACTGGGCTGAGAGGGTCGTTTTGCCATTCACAGTGAAATCTTCAGAATGCCTTCAACACTGAGACCCAGAATTTCAGGATTGATGCTCAAATTGAGATTCTAAAGCTAAGAATTATCATGGTTGTATTAAGATTGATCTTCAACCTGCAACATTGCACATAATTTCAACCATCTTGAAATCTGTTCTTTTCCATTTAGAAAATCATGGTTCACACAATGCACTATTTACTCAAGAAACCGTACAGCTGAGGCAGGCTGGTTGCCATCTGTATATAGAATTTCCACATGTGTATACATACGTGCACGGAATGATCACAGGAACATGTACAACAGAGAGAACACACTAGGTCAGGCGACTGCATCCTAAACCATTTGATTTCCTGCTGGGGTTTTTGCCGTGGAATTTGTGAGTGTGCTCAGCTTTGACTGCTTTGCCAACTCTTCCGGTCTTGGAGCCTCGAGTTACGAGCTCTTTCTGTACTGAGGTTTCCTACCTGTGTCATGAGCGTAGAGTTTGAACCCCAATGCTTCCTGCTTTAAAGGTGGCTTAATACCACCAGTGCCCTAGGATGCTCTGAGTACAGCAGCAGGTCCCAGTGGCACTCCGTGGGTTTTCATAATAGATATGAGGTTCTGCCAGAAAGCTCATGAAAAATAAGCAGTAGCTTTAAAAAGATCTGTTTGTGTTTATTTGAGAGAGGGCAGTTCACTGCTTAAATATCTACAACCTCTGGGCATTTCCAAAGTCTGGGCAGAATTCAGGAGCCAGAAATTCAGTCTGGGTCTCCCACTTGGGTGGCAGGGACTCCTACTGGAGCCATCATCAGCTTCTTTCTCAGGTGCATTAATGTGAAACTGAGTTAAAAGTCTAACAGCTGGTTTACAAGCTACCACTCTAACATGGGATGGTATCACAGTCGTGGGTTAACTTACTGTCATACAATCAGCCATGATCCAGCTACCAAAGCCATCACCACTGCTGGCTGCCAGGGTCTGAACTGACAGGAAGATGGAGTCAGGAACTGAACCCAGATATTGTGAAGTGGGATGTGACTGTCCCAACCACTAGGCTAAGCGTCTACTTCAGAGCACTGTCTTCAATCCCAATTTTCTGCAAATATTTTGAACTGCCCTTCTGTAATTTCACTTCAGATACTTTTTAAAAGATTGATTTATAGGCCCAGCACAATGGGTTGATTGCTTAATCCTCCCCCTTCAAGCACCGTAACCCCATGTGAGCACCAGTTCATGTCCCGGCTACTCCAATTCCCACCCAGCTCCCTGCTAGTGGCCTGGGAAAGCAATGAAGATGTTTCAAGGCCTTGAGCCCCTGCACCTGCATAGGAGACCCTCAGGAGGCTCCAGGCTCCTAGCTTTGAAGTGGCTCAGCTCTGGCCGTTGCCTGATGGAAGATTTTTCTCTATCTCTCCTTCTCTCTGTAGATTTGCCTTTCCAATAAAAATAAATAAGCCTTTTAAAAAATTGTTACTTGAAAAAGTTACAGAGAATGAGGAAGAGACACACACACACAGAGAAATCTCTTCCTTCACCAGTTCACTCTCCAATGCCTGCAACCATCAGAACTGGTCTGGCCTGAACCCCAGGTCCAGGAGCTTCTTCCAGGTCTCCCACGAGGGTTCAGGGACCCAAGG